AATTATTCTAAGAACAGTATTTTTTTAATTTATATATACTTAATTATATATTACTGTTATATGTTTTCCTAGATATTTACATCAGGCCCATAAATAGCTCTATATATAGGCAGTGAAATAGATTTGTACTGAATATGGATGGGAATTATGATTCCTTACGAAACCAAACTCAAGTCAAATAAAAGTAGAAAATTTTCTTGGGACAGATTCACAAACCCTTAAATAACTACATATATACATATATATATAATATACGCAGTTCGTAACCCTCTTGTTTGCTGTTAACACTTAGCCGCAGGCCAAGTTCATTGCAACTTTCGGCTTTCGGCTTTTCGTCATGTGATACATATTGTTAAAAATAATGATGGCAATATTAGAGAGATGATGCGAGCGCGAGAGGGAGATAGAGATAATGAGTGAGCACACTCCACACTCGAGGGCAATACCCTCCCCTCGACGCAGCGGCACTCGAAATGCGCATAGACAATATAAAGATTAAAGCTGCAAATCCGTTGAGCCCGGCGATGGGCCCTTAATACGATTGCGCCCTATATATGTACATAAGAGTATCAACAACAATAACAACAGCAACAACAACAACAACAACAACAACTACTACTATAATAAACGCCACATCTACGATAAGAGACAGGAACAGGAACCAGTTTTTGTTGTTTTGTTTTGTAAAATTACCCAACGAGAACTGGATTTCAGCAAAAATATCAAATTTCATATAATTGGCGGCCATTTTGAAGTTCTGCAATGCAAAATGGAAAACAGTCGGCGTGAAATTCCATTTGTTACGTATCGCTGACCAGATGCAATATGCCGCGACGCTCCTTTGCAGGGCATCGCTGGGCAGGCAGCTTGGAAGTGGGAAGGGGCAATGGGCAAGGAACGAGGAACGACTGGACGTGGAGTGTGGAAAGCGTGTGATGGAGCGTCACTTGCAAATGATTTTTTATCTTCAGGCCGCAGCCAGAGGCGGCTGGAAAAGGGGACGGAGCACAAAAGGAATGTTTATTTATATATTAATCGTTATATAAAATGTAAAAATTAACAAAAATGATCATCTTAAAAATAAACAATATAAATGAATATATGGAAATAATCAGAAATAATAA